GAAACTGTTAAACTAATTAAGGATTTTCAGCAGCAGGATTAATCCTGGGGTGGGGGGGGGAGGGAGCTGGCAAGCCAGGTAGTCGGGGAGGATATTGGATTTCTGAAAGGCAAGTCAGCACTCTTCGGGGGCTGTTATCTTGCGGAGGCTCCAGGGGTCAGGAGGTGGAAAACAGAGGTGACTGCAATCTCTCTGGCGCACACACGCCCTGTGCACTGCTCCTCCCGCTCTGTCTCTCTCCTGTGGCTCCCGCTTCTCCAGGCCTCTCCCCCCCACCCCGCCACACATCCCTCGCGCTCTCTGCCCGCGCATCTTCTCTCTTGTGTGGTCTCCAGTCATGTTTTGTAACCAGCGAGAGAGAGAGGGGGAAAAAATCCCCCTGGCTAACAAGCCGGGAATGGTGAAGTCCAGAGCTCCTAATGCAGAACATGTGGCAGCTGCCTGAGGCGGAGCAGAGGAGGTGAAAGTGAACATTGTGTAGAGCGCATCCGCCGAACGGCCCCTTCCCCCTCGCCCGCTCCCACCCCGCTCTGGGCTGTGTCTGGGAGCACTCAGCACGCCCCAGCCAAGGGGGCTGGCCTTTGCCAGGATGCAGCTGGGGGGGGAGCGCCCCCCCCATGGCACATGCAGTGAGGAGACACCTCCCTCCCCACAGCTCCCTCTGGGTGTGTCCCTGGGGCGGTCTGTGGCAGGCGTAGTGCCCATTACGTAACCCAGGGGGGAGAATCACAGGTCTATGCTGGGGGCCGTAGCCCTCCCCCCACATTCCAGTCTCAGCAGGCCCCGCTGTCCAGGGAGGTGGGTGGGAATCCGGAGTCCCCCCCCCCTGGAATGCGGAGGAGTCACTCCTCACACCAGACTTGCTGGGAGCATGCCGGGGTTATCTGCATGGGCAAACCTTCCTGTTGTGCCACCCAGGGGACACGCCTTCTGCCCTCCAGCCCCTGGGCTGAGCCCGTGGGGCAAGGTGGCAGCTTCCCCGGGTGGGTGGCTCTGATGGGAGCTTGGCTGTGCCGCACTGCGGTGCCTAGCGTAGGGCTCTGCACCCGAGCCAGGTGTATGGCTCGCCAGGGGCTGCTGCGGTTCCGCCTCTGCCTACCCTGGGAACGGCATCCCCTGGTGCATTTGGAAAAGCCCCTGGGCAGGGGTGGCGGGAGCAGGAGGCAGCCTCTGGCTGGGCCAGGCGAGCCAGGTCATGCCCTGCAGCAGCTGGGTCCCCCAGATGTTGCAGGCCCCCATATCCCATCCCATGGCTAGCCCAGAGCTGTGTGCTCCAGCCCCTGTCTTTGGGGGGCCAGTCACCTCCTGCCTCCCCGCTGTCTGCTCTGCAGCTGCTCAGGGCCGTGCCTCGTCCTTAAGAGGCTTGAATAACCCTGAGCAAGCGTGGTCTTGTTACAGCCAGAGAGGAGCCCGGCGAGAGCTGGCTGGAGCTGTGTGTGTGTCGGGGACTGTCTGGCTCCGGAGCGGTGTGTGCGTCTCTTGGGGTGCGTGTGTGCGCGCAAGGGTGTTGCTCCAAGTGCAGCCTTGTGACAGGGGTGCGTGGCCTGAACCTGCCCTGATTCCGACCCACGGAAAGCTGGAGGAACTGCCTTGAACCCGAAGTAGCCTCTCGGGAGTCACTCAGACAAGGCCGTGGCCCCAGCCCAGACCCAGCAGGGCAGGCTCCCAGTACCTGACTGGTTTTCAGTCTCTCCACGTCTCGCTTGACTTAAAAGGGAAAGCAGCATGTGTGTGGGGGGGAGGGGTGTATCCTGGGGGCTGTTCTGGAAAGTCATCTGTGCGCTTCCTGCCCGCCTCCTCCGGCAGCTCCCGGCTCCGGGCACATTAGCAGCTGCATGAGAGACTAGACCGGTCTTTCTAGTGCATATTTTGCTGCTCCGCGTTGCCCCTCGGTGTAACTCTACACCGTCCAGGACAGCAGCGGCAGCAGCTCTCTGCAGGGCTGGAGGCAAAGCTGCCTGCATTTCCGTGCCAGCCAGGAGACCAAAGGATGGGGAGGGGAAGAGATGTGGCCTGGGTAAGTGACAGGTTTGAATTCTCCTTCCCAGCCTTGTTGATAAGTTGTCAGGCTAATGCAGGCAGCAGGAACAGGCTGGATGGCGCTGAGTGTGTGAGGAGATTTCACAGGCAGACCGGAAGAGGGACAGTCGCACAGGCTCAGGGTGGGGAGCAGACACACATGGGAGAGGTATCCGCAGACACACAAAGATATGGCTACACCCACACTCGGTGGAGGAGACACACAAATCCGCCCTTCCAGAGGAAGAGAGACGGAGACACACAAAGACAAGCGCACACAACCCAGGAGAGGCCAGTAGAGACACCACACAGCTGCACAGTCTCACAAAGAGAATGCGCAACACTGTCCAGGCGAGACAGAGACATACACACACAGCGACGGACACAGGCACCCGCACCAACACACAAAGAGTGAAAACCACAACCCAGCAGCACACCCAGAGGCAGAGGGAACCAGAGGGAAGGGCTTTGCTAATGCAGAGCTCAGAGCTTGGCTGATTTCCTCCGGGGCTCTGGTAGATCCTGAGTGAGACGGACAAACAGACATGAGCCAGAGAAGCCAAGAAAGAGCGAGATGGGGACGTGGCTGAACTGATGAGAGGTGGCTGGGCAGGGAAAGCTTTTTCCTCATGGAAGAGCCCTGGAAATGTCAGCACGTGGCCCGCAACTGCTGCCCCGGGAAGAGGGGAGGGGGGGACAGGCCGGGGCCCTGGGCCTGGGAGCCGAGTGAGACGGACAAACAGACATGAGCCAGAGAAGCCAAGAAAGAGCGAGATGGGGACGTGGCTGAACTGATGAGAGGTGGCTGGGCAGGGAAAGCTTTTTCCTCATGGAAGAGCCCTGGAAATGTCAGCACGTGGCCCGCAACTGCTGCCCCGGGAAGAGGGGAGGGGGGGACAGGCCGGGGCCCTGGGCCTGGGAGCCAGCCACGG